AACACAACGCTGAGACTGCGCTGTACATAGCCCAGCCGCCCTCCAGGCTGCCAGAGCCTTCACAGCTCGTCGGCATTGTGGCGGAGTGGTTAACGCGGTTGACTAGAACGGTCTTCTTCGGAAGAGGTTCATGAATCAACTTCCTTCGGGAGCGCATGTTCGAATCATGTCAATGTCGTTTTTGGCCTTCTGAGCATGCGTAGAGCATCCTTTTGCATCGATTTTTGATGCAGAAAGGGTTGTGGAAAGGAGCGGAAGGCGGAGGGGGCTTGGAAACCCTTAACGGTGATTTTCGCGGTGGTTGAAAGCCGATACGTAATCACGGCGATTTTCGACAACTGTACTCGATGCCCCCGAGTCTTGGGTATCCCCTCGAGCCATTAGTACTGACTTTGGAGCCTGTAGGCAGGCGCGGTGGAAGAGGAGAAGACCTCGGTGTGTGGGTGGGAGTTGGCCACTTTCCGTTAGGAACCAGACGGCTCGATAATGAAAACCCAGCCGTTCTGTATGTCCAGGGGCTTTCTGCAGTTGCTCCTGCTGCCATAGGTCCTTTCGCAGCGGCTCTATCTTGAATCAAGCTGGAGAAAGGCTGCATAGCAACCTGAGCGTCGTGGCGTGCTTTACCGCCGAAACGGCAGTGGACTGCCACAAGTGGTCGTGATAGCCGTGTGGCGATTTACTCCACCCGAGTCACGCTCGATCCACTTGTCCACTGCGATTCCTGCCTGCTTTTTGGGGATGTGCAGCCTCCAGCCCTATCAAGAGTCCGGAAGACCACCGTACCACCGTCGTGCTCTGATCCACCAGACACACCGCCCCATGTCTGATCTCTTGCTCTCACCGGGTGGCCTTCGGGTAGGCCAGGCCACGAAGGGCCGCGATCTGCGTCAATCACACGCAAGGGGCGCGAACGGACGCACCCTCCTTCCTCCACGCTGTCACATCGTTAAATGCACCCCTACTTTCTTCCCTACTGGCCACGCCTGTTACGTTGGAAGCTGTTATACTCTTCACACCTCACCAATGTCGCTGCTGTAGACAGCATCCAGCGGCAAAACACGCTGACGTCTCTCGTTAAGCGGTTGTCTTGGTAGCTACCTTCCGCAGATCGCAAGCTGACAGGCCAGAAGACGCAGTCTGTACCAGACAAACCGCGTGGGAACTGCCCACTTCGTGCTATTCCAGCATATGCCGTTTCGCAAGAAACGCAGCGCAGTACGTTTGCAAGCTTGAAACCCCTTGAAGTGATTAGCTAACGCCAGAATTACGAGCGTGTTGACGCACGAACCGACTCTCAAAGGCCTTGGCTGGAAAGGCCATCCGTGATCCCATCACGATACCTCTTGTCAGCTCCTCTAGAAGAATCTTGCAGCTAACCTCAGATTATCAAGCGTGGTCTTAACCATGTGTTACCTACACCTAAGTCTGTGAGCAGCTTGCGTTCCATTATGTGAGCTGACCCCAGTTTCTCCGAAACCATCATCACGCTTCCGCTAACTTTCCCGCGGAGCGGGCTGGCATACAGATGGCCAGTGACCTGGAGCTACGGGTGAGCTCTCGAATGCTCCGTCGCAGCTGACCACAGTCATGGACCCAACCTGCCACTACGTCTAGTGCCTCGAACCCTCATTGCGACAGCGACCAAGCTGGCCTCTGTTCCTCTATGGCCCCTCGGTCAGCTAGCAGCCCCGAGTTTAGCTGACGAACAGACAGCCAGTGGGCATAAGCTTGAAGGCAAGCTTCAGCTCAGATCGCTAAGCTGACGACAGCTGGCCGCTACTAAATAGTCAGCTCGTACTTCGTTCTGGACCTTGGAGCTTACCAGCAGGCAAGACTAGGCCTACGGTGAGCTGTTCCACCGATGGATTCAGCTGACAACAGTCTCGCACGATAGCCAGCACTCACCGCTGTCGGGATAACCTGCCTGCCTCGGGAAGATCAGTGAGCTGCCCCGCTTATAATTCCAGCTGATCCCAGCTCCTCGATCTTTCGCCTTCACATTGTCAGAGCTGCCCTACTGGGTGGATGTAGCTGACCAACACACATAGGCTACGCTTTAGTGAGCTACCTACATGATGTTCAGCTGATAGCAGTCCTCAACAGAGTCTCCCCTTTGTGGCGAAGCCCCTCTTCAATGCCCCTCAGACCAGAAGGGAAGGCGATGCCGAAGGTGAGCAGCTACAAAACTCACAGTAGCTGACGACAGACAGCCATGTCCTTCTGCATCCTATCAGTCTAAAGCTCCACAGTCAGCTGGCTGATGAGTTCCGGCAGCTAACCCCAGGCCCCGACTCTTCGGCACAGCCCGAGCCCGCCACAAAGGTTTCCGTGAGCAGCTGCGGTCTCGTCAGCTTAGCTGATACCAGCCCCTACTCACCTTTTAGGTCAGCTCGCTTCCTACATGTCGAGCTGATGAACAGGAGTGTCGGGAGTGGAGGTGGGCTGTCGACTGCCCTGCTGAGCTGACGACAGCCATTCGTAACGTACCAAGGCTGGCGGTGTAAGCTGCTTTGAGGCACTGGGAAGCTGACCCCAGCCCCAGTCGCGTCTCACGCCGTCACACTGCGTTTCTGTAGTTTTACTGGCGTACAGGAAAGAGGATCGTGACACGTAAGCTGCCTCCCTCAATCTGGAGCTGACAACAGTTCTCCTTCCGGGTCTATAGTCAGCTTCCCGGATTGTACAAGCTGACTTGCAGATCACCACATGGCGCGAGAAGTAAGCTATTCTCAGTTCGCACAGCTGTGGCTGACACCAGATTTCAAAGGGCTGTAGCAACCTTGCACGGCAGTACTAGACCTTCAGACCTGATGCTCTGGTAAGCTTCGTACTTCTGATGAGCTAAACCACAGACCCAAACTCGATGATCCGCCACTCCGGCCAGAGGAGACCGGGGTGGATTGCGTGAGCTACCATTCGTGGCTTGAGCTGATTTGCAGACCTCTCGTGATGTGAGAGTCACGTCTGCGATACGTCAAAGAACCGAGCTCAGTCCTTTTGCCCACTGTCGTGGACTCTCCGCACAATAGTCAGCTTCCAGTCTTTACTTGCGAGCTGACCTCAGACCCAGCCCTGGCACCGCGAATCGAGACCAGGTGACCAGCTGTACCTGCTTCACGTTTAGCTGACCTGCAGACATCCCCCGATTCCTGGTAGCTACCGCGAATGGCGGAGTGAGCTGACCACAGCCCTGCCTGCCCTGCCAGCCCTACCAGCCGTTTGTGCCACTACGGCAGCCCCCGCAGAAACTATAGTCAGCTTCCTGAGTCCCCCCTGTAAGCTGACCCCAGACCCCCCCAGGCCTCGCGTCACCCCGACTCTCCGCGTGCTTATCCGCTGAGAGTGCGGTCGGTGAGCTTGTTTCCCCAGGCTGAGCTGGCATGCAGAGATCCCATGCCACAATCTTGTGAAGCTGAAATGCGCGGACTCAGCTGACGACAGCCGCGTGATGGAACACCTAGACAGCAAGCTTCAATAGCCTGCGCCAAGCTGACCCCCAGACCTCGACCTGGACTACTGCCCCACGACTCTGTCGGGCTGGGGAGTGAGCAAGAGTGCACTGTGTGAGCTACTTAGCCCTGTTGTAACTGACGCGCAGATTTCCCGTAGCGTGGCATGTAGCTACGACTTTCTCTCCCACGACTCTCTCGGGCTGGATCTGGGGCAAGAGTGTACTATGTGAGCTACAGCTACCTGGCCTGTGTTAGCTGACGGGCAGATGTCCCGCGTCGTTGTACGTAGATATGACTTCCTCTCTCCTTTGAGCTGACGTCAGCCGCACCTCACCGCTCCAACCCGACACTTCCCGGTAAGCTTCGATGCACATCTTGCAGCTGATGACAGACAACACAGATGGTAGATGCGATACATGATGCTATGATGGGTTTGGTGTTTATGCTTGCTTGGGTTGATGTATTTCTAGTTTCTTCAGACTGTTCTTCTTCAGACTTGATGTGTGCAAGCTCCGCCTGTCGTCGTCGCCTACGCCTGCCTGCCCCCACCGCCGAGCACCAGTTTCTGCCCCTTCTTCCCCTTCTTGCCCTTCTTCGGTTCGGCCGCCAGCGCGGCATCGATTGCCCCGCCCCACGCTTCGTCGACCTGTTCCAGGCGCGGGACCGAGGAAGTCGTGCGATGCTGCAGTGCCCAGCTGAACGAAGAGCCGTTCTGCTGCTGAGGAGCAGGGGCGGGAGCCGGCGTAGCGGGTTCCGTCGACGGCAGCGGGAACGCAGAGGCTCCCTCGGGTGAGCCCGCCTCTAGACTCCGCGCAAGAGCCATGGCGAGCTCATGGTCGACACTCTCTGTCGTGGCAGAAGGGACGACGCGCTGCTCGGGGTTGCGCGCCTTCTCGGCCTCCTCGGCGCGGCGCTTCATCCTGTCCTCGCGACGGACGCGGTCTCGGCGTTTCTGCTTTCGCGCACGCAGAGCAGTTTGGAACGGCTCGAGCGTCTCGGGTTTCACAATATGGGACAGATCGGCTTCGACGAACACCACTTCGGTACCGACAGGCAAATGAGAGAGGTACTTGATGCGCCGGCGGAGGTCGTCCGTGACAGTCGCCGAGTCATATCCCGTCGTTGTAAACGAGATCTCTGGCGGCACATTGGCGTAAGAGCCAAACTCGGCTAGCAGAATACGGCTGTCGAGCGGGCTAAGGAAGACAGGCGCACCGAGCGACGACTGGTAAAAGTAGTACGAGCCCGACGATGTCGGCGTTGAGGGAATCGAGGGTGTTGCCGTCTTGGGCCGCCGCTTGTTCTTCTTCGGCGGCATCGGATTCGGCTCGACAGGAATGTTCGGCGGGACGTGCACCGTCGGACCGGCATACTGATACCCTCGGGTCGTATCGAGCAGCTCAATCGGCACCTCGGCGGCTTCCTTGGCCTCCTGCGCCTTCTTCGCTTGCTCTTCCGCTTTGCGCTCACGCTCGCGTTGTCTCTCGCGCTCGCGCTTGGCGCCGCCGACGGCCTCGCCCCAAGCCTCACGAGCTTCTCCGATGGCGCTGTACACGCCGTCGGTCATGAGCTCGCCCTTGACCTTCTCCATCTGGCGCTCAATCTTGGCCCTAGCGGCAAGCACAAAGCTGCGACCCAGCTCGTCGCCCTTGAGCAGGTCGTACTCGCCCTGCAGCTCTTTCAGCTCGCGCTTCAGCTCGGACATCATGTACTCGGGTGTCGCGAGCATGAAGTGGGCGTACGTAAGCACATCAGGGAGGAAGTACCACGGAGCAGAGACGGGAGGGATGGCGTCGGATGGCCAGGTAGGCGTCGGGGGGAAGGCCATCGAGGTCATCTGGGGGCGTTGCAGCAGCCGCATGTGAATCTTGTGTTGACCGCGCGGTGCCTCGGGCTCGGCGTCGATTGTCTTGGCCTCGTCCATCGTGGGCTCGTGGTCCGAGTCCTTGTCGATAAGACCGTCGTCGTCACCTTGGGATCCCTTGACCATCGTCTCGGCGTCGAGGTACCGCACGCTTTTCAGCATGCCCTCGTGGATAGAATCGCCACAAATTGGGCACGCCGCCGCCCTCGGCACCTCGGACAGCTGAATGAAGTGCAGGATGCACGGGAAACAAAAGATCTGACGTCAGCTCACAGGCCAGAAGAACAACTTACGTGGCCACACTTGGTCATACGTCCCGCAACCGGTTTGGACAAGCAGATCGGGCATGACCTTCCCTGCTTCTCCTCTTCAATCCGGCGGCGCTTCTCAGCAGCCTCCTCACCACCGGCGTCATCGTCGTCGTTCTCGGACGCGACGTAACCCTGCGCGACAGAGTACGCGCTAAACGTGGGCATGAGCACTTGGAGGATATGCGGCCAGTGGAGCGCAATGTCGGGGTCGGCAAAGTGCGCGCCGTAGCTGAAACGTTCGTTCGGCTTCATGACAAAGCGGAAGCTCGCGTTCACAAACTTCTCGCGGGTGAGCGCGCTGCCGCGCCACGTCTCGCCCTTTCTGCTCCGCCTCGGGGGTCCCGGTACGCCTGATCCGGGCACACCGGCGCCGCGAGCGGGCATGCTGAAGCCGAGCCATTGGTTGGGGTCGTCATCGTCCATGTCGGCAGCCAACTGAGGCTTGGATTTCGTGCGTTGGCCTTTCCTGTTTCCCTGCTGGTTCGGACGTCGGGGAGTCTGAGTGTGCGACATGGGCGGAGATGTTCCGGTGGAGAGTGCGATGTGAAAGCGCGTTGTTTGGGGAAACCGGCAGATCAAGGCAGATGGAACGTGTGATCGGGTCCGGTGGAGGTGAGATATGAGTCGGAGGGTTGGGTGGCGAGAGGTAGCTTATCCTCGACGAAGGCAGACAAACGTCAATGTCCTTGTGGGGACGGGTATCTCGGGGGTGTCGGGACTAGAGAGTGGGAGTGAGGGAGGTGCTTGGTGACCCGGTATCCGCTCTTTGAGAGCGATGTTGATACGGGCTGAGGAAGAAGAGAAGGAAGGATGGTGATGGCGTTGATAGGGGAGTCAGCTGGAGCGAGTGAGCCAGACTGGGGGAAGGCGTGCCTGGGCTAGCTGGGCTGGTCATGACTCGCGGTTACTGGGCTTGGACGCGATTCCTGCAGTGCATGCAGTGGATGAGAGCCTGGGAGCTCAAGCTCAGTGATGACGGAAGCAGATGAGCCACGTGCGATGGGCGGTCGTAGAGGGCGCTGGGGTGAGCGCAGTCGGGCAGTGGAGTCCTTAAATGTGCCCGCCCGTCAAGCGGATGTGCGCGGTGGCGCAGCAGGGAAGGGTCTCACCCTGGGGCCAGCCCCGTCCGAGGGAGCGTGGGTGGTGGAGGGCGCTGTCGTAGTCGCCTGGGTGCTCCTTGCTGCACACTGCCGTACCTCAACCACCGCCAAGGCGGCCTCCTTCACTGCCCCGTTCACAATCCATTTCACCTCCTCTCTCTCTACGACATCGCAATACACACACACAGTCGACAGCATTTGCATACTACAAGTGACCGACTGCCCTTCCCCCCTTGCCCGACCACCACCCGACTGCATCGTCGCATACCCGTCTCTGCTCAACATCCTGGACTCTTCCGGCCTAATTTGACCCCGCCACCCACCCGTCCCAGGCCATCGTCCCTACTGACACCACCAACTCTATCACCAACACACCCCTTTCCCATTCCACCCCTTCCCCCTATCCACCATCACCATGTCTGAGGACCCAGTCAAGGCTGTACAGGTCAAGCTCGTCCTTCTCGGTGAGTCTCACTTGCACGCTTGTTGTTACTAGATCACTGACCGTGCCTCGCTCCACCTCCTTGCACTTCTGCACGCCACGTTTCCCGCGCACCCCGTTCACCCATCTGCATTCATGCCTCGACCGCCCTACCTCGCTTCGCACCGTGCACTCCCGCTCGACTCGCGATCTGTTTTCTCTCGCCGGTTATCCCGAATCGCCTCGTCCGCGTCGTGCGTCTCCACGTCGCTCGTTCCGTGTGATCGGTGATCTGTCGAACTGCCTCCTCCCACACTCGCCGCCATCGCACACTTCGGCACTGTGTTACGCTCTTTTCATCCGATTCCAATGTTACAGGAGAGGCCGCCGTCGGAAAGTCGTCGCTCGTCCTGCGCTTCGTCCAGAATGACTTCAACGAGAACACGTCGCCTACTATCGGTGCTGCGTTCCTGACGCAGAGTGAGTACAACTTTGACCAGCTACTTTTTTTGCCTCTCGTAGCTAACCCCCCAGAGTGCCGCCTGGAGAACCGAGTTGTCAAGTTTGAGATTTGGTGAGTTGTTTTCGCTCAGTGCGGCCTGGGTGCTGCGGCGTCGTCGGCGCCGGGCCGAGTTGCCACCGAGTGTCCGAGTTCCGAGCGAAAACGCTGACGCATAGGGACACGGCCGGCCAGGAGCGCTTCCACTCTCTCGCGCCCATGTACTACCGCAACGCCGCGGCCGCCGTGGTCGTGTACGACATCACAAAGGCCGCGTCGCTCGAGAAGGCCGCGTCGCTCGAGAAGGCCAAGGCGTGGGTCAAGGAGCTGCAGCGCCAGGCGAACCCTAACATCGTGATCGCCCTGGTCGGCAACAAGCTCGACCTCGTCGAGGGCTCCTCCGCCTCCGAGTCCGCCGACGCCGAGGCCGACACCCCCGCCGACGACGAGGAGACGGCGCGGCAAGTGCCGACGTCCGAGGCGCAGGCGTACGCGACCGAGAGCGGCCTGCTCTTCTTCGAGGCCTCGGCCAAGACGGGCACCAACGTCCAGGAGGTCTTCACCGAGATCGCCAAGACGACCCCCCTCGACTCG